CTGCTGACATCCAAGATGAGGCTGACAGTGGCTCTGAGACTACAGAATGTGAATTAAAGCTGTATTCACACCAGCTGTGTTAGAAATCCAGTACAACACACTGCGTATCAAACGGGAGAAAGATTCATCTAGGGAAAATAATTTCAGCTTCCAAAGAGAGACTAAAGAAGGCTAATAAAAAAGATGTTTGCTTAATGGCCCTTTGTTGCTCTCGCTTTAATCTTCAAAAACCTGTATCTTCACACATTGTAACACTAATGATTACCTTTGTTTTTCATTCTTACTGACAAAGAAATGAAATACACAGTAAATTTGCTAGCTAGAGTGCACTGCAGAGTCTTAGGACCAGTGCAACAGTGGTTCCCAGATGGAAATTTAGCTTAGAAATAGGCAAATGTTGTTTACCTGCATCAACCCTTTGTTGCCTTATTGTTTAGGGAAATAGCAGTGAAAGACAGCTTGGGTTAGAGAAGTAAAATGAGAATTAAAAATCGACCTCTTTCAGAAAGCTTCCATCACCACACTTAGATCACGATAATCTCTTCTTTGAGAGGCATACCAGCTCCCTTGCAGCTCTGTATGGAAACAGCTCCTCCAAGCTTCCACCTCAAGTGAAACAAATGGGTTGAGCAAGAGACCTGACGTGAAGAGCCCTGTGCTCTGTTCTCAGCTCTACCACTAGAGGAGCACAACAGAGGGGAAGGGTCTAATGCCTCCGTGTGTCAGTCTTCCCCAGATTTCCTCAGATGATTGAAGTCTGTTGATGACATAGAGCTGGGATATGCAGTTGAGGCAGAGGAGTGGTAGGACACTGTACAGGAGGAAACCAAACTTGATAGAGAGTAGAAAAACAGAAATGGGGTGCAAGGTGTGGAGCACAAAGTGCAAGATGGTGTCCTTGGGGACCAGACCACAGAATCTTCTCCTACAAAATGAGACCTCATCAGTTAAAGGTCACTTGTTAGAAGACGATGTACAAGGCAAGAACTCAAGAGGAAAGAACTTGAACTCATATTAAAGGACAACAGCACAGCAACAGTCAAGAAAATTATTAAGCTAGAATTGAGAAAAGCAGTGAGGTCTGTGGTGGTCTTCCAGCAGGATAGTTGAGACATGTATTCTACACTAACATCTTTCAAAAAATAGTGCTTTATGAGTTTATGAAAATCAAATTCCAGTCCCATGATCTCAAGGCAACAGCACAGAGTTTTGAACAGTTTAAACTTCTCACTTTCAAACTGGTTATGAAAGGGGAACCTATAGTAACAGAAATGTTCTTGAGGATTTCTTTGTAAATTTGACTATGGCAATGGTTTGAGTGCTACCTGCATGTTTAAAATGGAAGCAAAATACCATGTGCCAATGGATGAATAACATAAAATAGAACTAACTGGTCCAGTTTAATTGCCTATAGTAGAATCATAGAATGGTTTGGGTTGGAAAGGACTTTAAGATCATCTAGTTCCAAACCCCTGCCACGAGCAGGGACACCACACACTAAACTATGTCACCCAAGGCTCTGTCCAACCTGGCCTTGAACACCGCCAGGGTTGGAGCATTCACAGCTTCCTTGGGCAACCTATTCCAGTGCCTCACCACCCTCACTGTGAAGAACTTCTTCCTTAGATCTAATCTAAACTTCCCCTGTTTAAGTTTAAACCCATTACCCCTTGTCCTACCACTACAGTCCCTAATGAAGAGTCCCTCCCCAGCTGCTCTGAATCTCTTCTCCACCCAGCCTGTAGCTGTGCCTGGGATTGTCCCAACCAGGTGTAAATCAAACACAAATATTTGACAATAGCTAGAAACTGTAGAAAGCTTATTTGATCTATTATATTTCAAAAGGAGTAGCCTACCTTGTGCTTTATTAGTTAAGTACAAACAGAGATTACATATAAATATAAATGCTTTATCTTAGTAGCATGCCTTCACAATTTTAGTCATCTTAAGGTACTCACGTACCTACTTATTACCCATTTTCACAGGTCTCATTTTTTATTTGTTTTTCAGAAGCAACTGTAATTTCTTAACTCCATTAACATTATTTTTCCTGTTATTTTTAAACCAAATTCCATGATTTCTTTTCCAGACCTTACACAGTATTTCTGTCAAGAGCTCTTTTTCCAGGTGTGACTATATTTCAATATGCATACAGAACCTAAGGAAATCTAGCTACACAGATTTTATTTGTATTATAAGCACAAAGTCACAAATTGATCTTTGTTACACTTTAAAATTCTCCTTTCAACTAACTGCCAGTGTATACTGCTGTTACCAAAAGGCATCTCAAACACCAAAGGGCAAGATCTTAAGTTTCATCTACTACCAGCTTTGAAATGTAGTTTCTGTAGCGAACAGTATTTGTTTCTGGCTCTAGAGCAACGGAGAGCATGTCCTCCATTTCTTCCTCAGTAAAGGGCTCACCTGAAAGACAGCAGAGAATAACACTTTGTCTTCATTATTCTTTTAAGGGCTGGCAAATTACACTGCTCTTTCCTCGAAAGGATCTCCTTTTAGTCCTCACACAGAGGAGAAAACGAGTAACACAAAGGATCCGATTCCTTCACTTTTGCCAATGTAAATCCTGCACACTGAGCAAGGAGACAGAGGGCCTGGGTCTTCTGATCTCCCTTTAGTCCACAGACTTCAAAACGGCCTGTTCTGCTCTGCCACAGGGATGCTGAAATAACCATTTTTGGCAGAATTAATTCTAATGTGTACAACAGAATGATTCTTTCTCATTTGGCTATCCTTGCACTTTTATTTACACCGTGAAAGGCTTCTGGTTTTTCTCTTTCAGAAGCTTTAAAGCTGCTGATGGCCTACTTCATTCCTCTTTGAGAACAAGGTTCCCATCTGAGGATAGGTCTTGCACAAAGCCTGCACATCATTTTGTACTTGAGACAGGCAGGCATGCATGAGTCAGACATGCAAGAAAAGCAGGCTCTTCAAGGGATATTGAGGATTACATAGTATACAACTCAAATCTGGTCTTTGAATCTCTTTCTTTGCTTATGGCACTAGAATTAAGATCAAGATAATGTAGGAATGAATGAGCACTGAAACTACCTGAATCATCTCGAAACCTAACCCACCATTTTATAGGACAGAAAAAATCAGATTGTTAGGAAGCACAGAGATGCACACAGAATCAGAAAATATCCACACAAGATTGAATTGTAACTCATAATAGTAATAATCTCTATCTTATAATGTCTGCAAGCAGGCAGATAAATGTTCTTTCCCTGCATTATTCACCAGCAAAATGTTCCAGTCTGCAGCCACTCATCACAGCAACAGTATTGTTTGAAGACAATGTATCTACTTCTGCAAGTTTTGGCACGCAGAATGAGGACCTCAAGGTGCCATATACACATGTAATGTTTATTTACTTAAATACTGATATTACAAAAATCATGTTACCTTCTTCAGTCAAATATTTGACCAGATCCTCTTTAGTAACATATCCACATTTATTCTCATCCAAAACCTTCAAAAAAAAAAAGAATTAAACTTGTGGGTTTAACAATTTTGCATCAAGAATCAGCAACTTCTTTCCAGCAGTTAGGTACTGGAGTATTTATTTACAGACCTCAAACGCATGTAGAAGAACATCTTCTGGAACAGGCCGGTAGCTGAAATCATTGAATCAGAAAAGTTAAGTCACTGTTTACCAGGCTGCTGTACTATTCTGAAAAAATAAAATGAGTACTAAAGGAAAGGGGAAACTTATTTTATCTGAGAATTTACTAAGTTTGTCTATCAAGCATTTGATTCCAGCTTGATTTTTTTGGAACTGTCCATATCTTTACCTCTTACGTCTTTTATTGTACTCCTGTTTCATTTCCCTTGTGCTAAGGAGCCAGATGAATGGCTTCTGCA